ACTCTAGAGATAAAATAGATGTGTAAATTACAGAGCACGGTGAACAAAACTCAATTTTTGACATCATAATTATTACTCGATTTGTTAAATAAATAGATCCATTTTTTTTAAATTATATATTTTAGATTTACTTTCTAGAATATACATACTTTTATAGTATATAATTCAAATTATTTTATGGTTGAAATGTATAGACATAATTATATACTATGTATATAAATGTTATGTATAATATATATATTTGCATATATATATATATATATATATATATATATATATATATATATATATATATAGTGTGCGTCATTTTTTCTTCGGAATATATGCAATATTTAAAAATGGATATTGATCGTATATTCTACAATTGACTTTTTAATTAAACTTTAAACTGAAAAAAATATATATATAATTTCAATTGACAAAGATTCATATTATGATGCACTAGCGCGCCATCTGTTATGAAAATTGGAAACTATTTTAAACGCGTAAAATTATCTTTGAAATTAAACAATTTCTACTGCCCTTACTGCAGTGGAAAAATTAATGGGAGGGCCTGGCTCATCAGTGGTGAACCCTCCCAGAGGTTTTGCCAGTTTAATCTACCATTCTCATCTTAACATCATAATTTTATAAATAAAATTTGCTTAATAGAGTTATAAATTTACTAGAGAGAAAAAAGAATAAATATAGATATAAAATTTGTTGAGAGTATATTGATCTTTAAAAAATAAAGATCACCTATACAGTCGATATAAAGTTCATCTAGTTTGTGGAAACGGTCAATAGATGGCGTCTATAGTTTTGACAATAAGTATATATTTACATGGTAACAAAACACTATTTTTATAACAAATATACTATTGGCATTCAGAAAAACATGAATATTTTAAGAAAAATTACACAACTTATATATAAATGTAAAAAATAGTACAACAATGAATTTGTACTTGGATCTGGTAGATAAATTAAGAAAAAAGAGCATTTCCTGATCGTGAAACTGAAAGTTTCTGATTGCTTGCGCCATCTATCGGAATAGATATAATAATAATTATACCTGTTTCGTGGTTTATCAGGATGTCTCAAAGACCTGCGTTTTTGGTTATTTAGGTACAGCTTACACCACGCTGATTAGGGCCAACAGCCCGAAACGCGTAAGTGGTTAGCTTTTCTTGATTAATCAAGAATGGGTATTTGGCAAATTCGGGAATAATTAAAAATCAACGAGAATAGTTGATATTTATTCCGATAGATGGCACAAGCCATCAGCAACTTTCAGTTGCACGATAAGGAGATGGCTTTTTCTTAATATATTCTATTGCCATTCAAAATACATAAATATATTGAGAATATTAACATAAATTATAAAAATAATGTATTTAAATATTTCAAAAACCTAAATAAAAGTGTACAAATCAAGAAAACGATAAATTTCCTATTCGCTTCATTTAAAAGAAGAAACACAAAAAGGGGAACATAACTTCTCTATATATGACAATGAACGTACAAGCTTGTACAAATGTCGTCTTATATGAATAAGTTATTCTCCCTGAATTGTGTTTTTCCTTCCAAAAGTATACAAAGTTATAGCATATATAATACTGTTTTGAAAATAGAGCAATCCATAGATATATCCATAGTAGCAATCCATAGGTATTGGATCAAAATATCATTCATTTTCCCAATATTTCAGTTGGCTAAACGATAACCTTTTTCAATGTATTATAACATATTAATGTGTGTCAACAATCAATGTGTGACACACACATTAATATGTTATAACACCTTGAAAAAGGTTGGCGTTCAGCCAAATGAAATATTGATAAAATATATGATATTTTGATCCAATATATGCCTTCTAATTTAAATATAATACTGTATATTCTTTAATATCCTATTTTTTACTTCAACTGTATTAAGTAATTTTTCTAAGCGATATTCAAATCCTTAAATGTGAAGGTTATAACCTTTTTTCAGATATAAAAAAATTGCGATTCACTTTATGAAATATATTCGAAAACCTTACGCAATATGATTCTTTATTACGAAAACACAGCGAGTTTTAGAGATCTCTAAGACTCTTAGATTTTAATTTTGCCCGTTGAAGATTAAAAGATCATATTGCGCAAAGTTTTCGAATATTTTTTATAAATGTTATAACCTATTATTATATATAATAATATAATAAATATATTATATTCATGACAAATTATATATAAGCATTAATGAGCTTTATACATGACATATATATACTCGTCAAATAATGATGAATATATAAAATTTGTTTAAAATATATATTCCTGATATGTATATATACACGGATTGCAAATCCCAACCAGTATATAGTCAATATATGTGCTGAAAGTATTATTCCAAAACTAATATAAATTAAGTTTATAGAGATTGTTTATATGGATATTCTCATCTAAATGTAGACGTAAACATAAAGAAAACATTTAACAATGATTAACCCTCTATAAACTCTCCCTTGTGGATTACAAAGAAGGTTGTTGCAGCAAAAAATTTAATCCCGGCTTGGATTTTAAATCCCTAAACGCCTTCTCAATACTTTACACACATCCATTGTCTTTCCCTCAGTAATTCTACATAATTTTTGTGTAGTTTGTAATTCTCTAAAGCCTTAATCTGGTTATTGTTAGACGATTTGTTAATTTATATTCATTTATTTAAAAGTGTAGTGGGCTGTAAAACGAAAATAAAGTTGTTAATACCTCATGAATTAAGAAATTTCTATATTATTTTAAAATTATAATAATTATAATTAGTAAGTTTTTTTAATATAATATTCAAGTACACATCGTACAGACCATTAATATCATGGTGGGTATTTGGCGACTGATTTTACTGTAAGTGCACCACATGTCTACACATGTGAAAAGCAGTTCGACTTACTATTATGCCAGAGAGCCCTGTATAATGATGAGCAATTGTTTTGAAAAATTCTGCACAATTTGATCATTAACAAACAAGGAATTAGAAGAGAAACTGTGTGTTTATACATATATTATACCACACTTAATATTAGAGAAAAACAATATAATAAATGGTTATGGAGCTTTTAGGTCAAGTGAGGTAGATTTTGTTGTTATTTTATATCTTCAATGGTTTGAGATGGCCTGTTCTGATTCTTGTTAGTGTTGTTTGGTGCTGTCCGAGGTTCAGAGCTCATCTTGAGTCCACTCCATTGTACCAACTGTATGTGTATAAATATATTGTGTGTGGCCCCAACTGTACTTACTTCTTGTCAGTCTTGATATCTGTTGTGGTATATGCTGTTGGTTCTTTACCACCAGTTGCACCTAAGCTCTATTGATCATTGAAAATGGTCCTCTCAATACTTGCAAGTCCAACCCTATCAATAATCTGGCACAAGTAATCAAACATGGCTCTGGCACATGCTAAGTTTCATGTTGAACTTCTTCCTACATTATTAAAATAAGAACATTAAGCCTCCAGGGAAATCATTTATTTTTTAAATATTTTTATTTACAAATTTCTCAAGCATTCAGGCAAGAATGCTCTTCTACGGAAGAAAATACTTTCCATTAAAACGCCAATAAAATAAGATTTAAAAAATTAAATAAAATGCTTTCATTGCTCACATTTGTTTCAATGCAGAATCAACGTGAGCTTCTATTGCGCTTGGTTATCGAGTTTGCTATTCAGAGGCAATATCCTCACTTGGAGGTTATGGGGTGGGTCAGGGAATAGTATAATATATATTTCCGGAATGTATATTCTTCTGTTAATGCTATGTATGTTAATATTGATTCAAGGGATTATTTTATCGAACATATCTATAAAGTTAGTGCAAAGATTGGAATAGCTGACAATAAGACTGAATAGGTTTTTTGATTAAGCATTTAAGGAGGCAAACCGCAATCTATCAAAATGAATATAAATTAAACTCTACCTCAGCTTAATTTCAATCTAAAAAACCGACGAGAAGACTTTGGATTATCTCTCACCTACAAAAAAATATAATAAATAAATAAACCTAATTACTTTAAAAGAGAATTTCTCTTATTTGAAAATTTGGCAATTGTGAATAAACTATGTTAATTAAAGTTTTATAAATGATTTAACGCGATATTTTAAATATAAATTGTAATGAGAGCTTACGAAATTTCTCTTCTCACAGACTCTATAGTTAAAACTTAAAAAAAAAAGAAATATTCACCAATTTTATCCATTATCTTTTTTTACCTTCGCATATAATGTTTTGAATATCGTTTAGAAAAATTAATCAATATAAGTGTTGTAAAATGAAGGATTAACGAATTTACTAAACAGCATTCAGGTGTAAAAATATCTGAAATTTATATTTTCAATCCATAAAGATTGATATGAAATAATTTTCAATAAAATGTTTAATTATTAAATTCAATTTTGTCTATTTACTCTCATGAATTTGGGAATAAGTGTAGATAAATTTGCAGAAATGTTTGAAAAAATATATTCGAAAACTAATAAGTAATGCACATTGACCTATATAAAATATTTGAACAATTTATCATCATGAATATAAAGTTTTCTGATTGAATGCACACTCCTTTTTATATTTATTTAAACAGAAATAAAATATAAACAATACTTAAAATTATACCGCATAAGTTTCTTTTCTATGAAAAATCAATATTTATTTTAAAGAGAAATATTTACTATTTCTAACTTTTTTGAATGAAGTATGAGAGGGTGAAAATATGAAGAGTAATGGCGAACGGGAAAAATAAAAGTGTCCAGGGGCGGGAATCGAACCCACAACCTTTCCCGTTCGCCATTACTCTTCATATTTTCACCCTCTCATACTTCATTCAAAAAAGTTAGAAATAGTAAATATTTCTCTTTAAAATAAATATTGATTTTTCATAGAAAAGAAACTTATGCGGTATAATTTTAAGTATTGTTTATAATCACACGCCGCAGTCCTTTAAAATGTATTATAAGTTACTTTAAGTTTATTTACGAACGGAGAAATAACGTCCAGGGTAGCCTAGTGGACATGGCACCTGCCCGGTAAGCAGAAGGTTGTGGGTTCGATTCCCGCCCCTGGACACTTTTATTTTCCCGTTCGCCATTACTCTTCATATTTTCACCCTCTCATACTTCATTCAAAAAAGTTAGAAATAGTAAATATTTCTCTTTAAAATAAATATTGAATTTTCATAGAAAAGAAACTTATGCGGTATAATTTTAAGTATTGTTTATAATCACACGCCGAGTCTTTTATAATAGAAATAAAATATGTTTGCATTTTTCTGTTTTGCAGCGCCTGAAGTAAGCACAAGAATCCGACAACCGTCTGTGATAGAGAGTTCACGTCTCTGTAACATTTCAATCACTATAAACCCCTCAAAGTTGAATGGTGTGTAGAGAAATAAATCCATGGGCAGAATCATCATACAAAAATGGAATTGGCGCTTATAGACAGGTAACAGGTTTATAGACCAACCTCTGTGTTAACGGACTAAATTTATTTTTAACGGAGAATTTTATTTTTAAAAACCCAAACAAGGAGACATATAAAATAAAGAAAAACTCTACGTGTTTTGGAAGTGTTCTTTACCTGATTAATGATCTTGAATTTCGAAATTTATTCTCAAAATGGGCGCCAAAGCTTCTAACTCGAGAAATTATACATTTTTCGGAAAAAGATCTGTTTATACCTCATGGAGCCTTTTTCTGAGGAATATTTCCATTTGTTTGAAAAAGCCTGTTATAACATGTAATGAATTTTGGATTTATCCTTATAATCCTTTTTTAAAACGCCAATCAATGCAATGGATCCACAAAGAAAAACCAAGGCTTTTCCTTTCCAAAGAAAAAATAATTATCTCTATTATTGTTTGAAGAAGGGCTGATATACTCTTGAAAATCATTATTCTATTAAAAGAGAAAGGGATTGTGAATGATTAGAAACTGTAAAACGAGCAACAAAGATATCTATCTTCAAAAAAACGTCCAAATCAAATTTTATCAAGATAATGCGAGACCTCACACGGCGTACCTAACTTTGGCGAAGATATCAAGGTATGGGTGACTTGATGCTTAATCCTGCGTACAGCCCCCAGACCTGGCACCCTCAGACTTCAATTTGTTTGGATGCTTAAAGAGTATTTCACGTGGTAGAACATGTGTACAGAAAATAAGGATAGATATATTGAACTATTATAATATATATAGGAAAATGTTAGAGAGGAATTATCATGTATATCATGTACAGAGTGTCAGTTTTCTAGTTTATCATTAAAAAGGTTATTATTGATTGTTCATTATTTATTGACCGAACCTTGTATATTAATTTTATTCAGTAAAAATACTGTATGTATTTAGCTTTCCTTGTATATTACTCTGAATATATTCTGGTCGATAAGCTATATTTGGGATTTAATATTAAGAGAGAGAGAGAGAGATTGAGATTGAAACCACTTTATTCTAATGTTCATATAAGATTATGTATGGTTAAACACAAAATTGAATAAATATGAATAAATAAGATTAAATAAGAATGAATATAAATAAATGTAAAATATAAAATTGATAAATAAACATATATATAAAAAATATACAATGCCGACATTAGTGGCGTCCACCGCAGGAAAGCCTCCGGAGTTCTCTCCCACAGAGTGGGCAGGTCAAATTCTGTTTGAAATAAAGAATTTATCAAATTATAATATGGATATAAAACTAATTATATAGAGATGAAATATTATATATATATTTGTTACAAACTATGTAAATTTAAAATGATTTTTTAAAGTTAAAAGTGCAGTCGTTAAGAATATAATTTAAAAAAAAAAGAAAATAAATCTCAAGAAGTTTATTTTGTGAACTATTGAGCAAAAGAATACATTAAATTTAAAGTAAATATAGAATTTAGCAATTAATCCTATATTACAATTTACATATTTATAAAATTTATATCTAACTTAACCTAACCCTACTCTAAAAAACAAAAACAATTCATTTTTATATTTAAAGTGGCGCCCTCTGGTGGCAAAATAATAACAGAGTTATTTTAGAAAGATGATTAAAATAAAATAATATTTACAAAGTTTTATATTTATGACATTTCTATATATTTTTAAAAATTCTATAACATATATATATATATATAAAACTAAAAAGTAAAAATAATATATATAAACAATAAGGTTTCAACTATTTGCAACAATTGGAGAAAACCGCTATAGTAACAATCGAAATATCAAGGATAAAAATTTAATTCGATTCATTTAATCAATAATTTTATATCTCTTAAGAGTTTATTCTTTATTTTCAATCCAAAGAATTTTATTTTCTCTGAATAGAAAAAAGAAGCCTATTTCTAGTCTTTATATAATTTTTGTATTGATACATTTAGTATTTTATTTTTTTATCATAATTTATCCGACAATTTCCAAATTGTTCAAATGTTTATATTGTTGTTACCTTAGACAATAGAGTTCCCTACCCTCACTTTTCCAGAATAATAAATATTTTTATATATACACTTATATAAATACTCTCTATAATTGCATTTATTGTATTCAATTTGAATTTTTTTTTCTCCCGATATTTAGAAGGACAAATAACCTCTCCTTTTCGTGTTTGTTTGTTATTTAAATTAAATCACGTATAATTAAGCCACTCTTTCTATATAAGACCAAAGTGAAGTACTAAAAGGTAAATATGTGAAAATATATATTCGACATATATTTCTGTTGATTTTTGATTATCTTGAGGATTATGCTATGGTAATGAAGTTGTGGTTAAAATCTTGAAAGTATAAAAAAATATATTAAAGATAAGAAATGGCTTTAATCGAGCTTATGGAATATAGAAAACATAATTCGAGAAAGGTATGCCTGACTTAAGGCGTAAGAATAAAAAAAATATGAAAAACTTATTTACATAATGTACAAAAGGTTTGAGCCGGCCATCGGGAAACAACAACAATTAGTTTTATAGGGGAAGCGTGGCCTCTGGCGGTCGATATAACAGAGTATTTGAATCTATGAAATATATTTTTTAAAAGAATAAAATATTTTAAAATAACATATATATATAAACTAGACGAATGACCCGGCTTCGCCCGGGAATTCCCCCGAGTACGAATTTCTATCTCAATACTTAATACTAAAAATACTTTTGTAAAAAAAAGTAACACTCTTATAAAAAGATATTTAAAAAAAAAAAAAAAAAAGTTGGGCAAGTGATTTGGAAAATATGCAGAACGCTCATTGGTCGGTTAATTCGCCTGGTGTTGTCACTTCGCCTCGTATTCACTGCCGCGCAAAAAATAGTTCTGGAGATTCTTTACACTTTATTAAAACAATATCGAACTTTCGAGTATTTCTGCCTTCCTGCAGGAGTACATAAAAACGAATAAACGCCGTTAAGATGCTAATAATATGTACATTTAAATATTAGGAGAGATTTTGCATATTGCTTGATATTAGAATATTTTATTAAGTTAGTTTGTATTTTTTGCATATTGACTAAGGTTTGTTTAATTTTAAGAATTATCATATTGACTGTAACTTTTATTTATTATATAAAAAAACAAAGGCCAGAACAAAAATTAATAAAAAATACGAAAGCTATTGTTTACATACAGTAACGCTAATTTTGTAACGTTTTTTTTAAATTGCATTGTGTGCACTTACCGTAACTTAGTAATATAAATTTCTCTCTCAATACTTTTGTAAAAAAAGTGACACTCGTATAAAAAGATATTTTAAAAAAGTACGCAAGCAACTTGAAAAGAAATGCAGAACGCTCATTGGTCGCTTAATTGTCCTCGTGTTGTTACTTCGCCTCGTATTTACTCCGCGTAAAAAAAAGGTTATTCAAATGAAAAAAAGAAATAGCCAAAATACTAATCAAAATGTAGCCGAAATTTTCCTCAGGTTTATAAAAAGCGACATGCAAAATTTGGTACCAATTGGTTCAGTAGTTTTTGAGTTTATCGCGAAACAGACAGACATTGACTTTTATATATATATAATAGTTTATATTATTTAGTTTAAATTACAAAAATCCTCAATAAAAAAAGAGGTCTCTAAAAATATTTAGAGAATAAAAATGTTTATATAATTCAATATAAATATTTATTATATATGGAATTTAATTCATCATCAAAATGATATACTTGTGTATAAAGGCATTGTTTTAATGTATTTTAAATGGAGAGATAAGCTTATCTTTCTCTCACTACTTCTTTTTTTTTAGTTTTCTCTCTCGCTCTTTCTTTTCATTTTAATCTAGTTTTATTAATGATGGCTATAAGTTAAAGGCGTTGTGTTGATTATCAAATGTCTGTCATATCATTCGTTAGAAATTTTGTTTATTGATTTATTATTTATTTTTGTTTATATACCGTGTACAGTATAGGTGTGCAAAAATGTACATCTACATCTTATTAAATTTATCCAATCAATGTATTTATTTGATGTTCTCTGATCAGATTGCACTAATTTAAATGAATGAATAAGCTTTGATAAATTGAAAGAAAGCCAAACTGTTTACCCCTAGTAATTCAACCTTTGATTTCGCACCATTTTACGGGGGTAAATAGATAGGGAATTTATCAAATCTGCCAAAAGGGCATTCTATCAGTAGATAGAGCTTTAATAGGGTGAAACTTTTGCCATATTACATTATGAAAGTTGAGGAAGCTGCTATTATTCAGTGCCATAAATTATATCTTTCATTAAGTAAATATTTTCTCTGACTCACACAAACATTTTAATCTCATAATAATAATATGTTTATATTGAATATGTTTTGTTTTGTTTGTGTATAAATGTTCATATGTTTACATTGAATACAAATTGTTAGGCAATTTGTTTTATATATAACACACATACACACAAACATTTTAATCTCAAATATACGATCAATTTGAAATAATAATAAAAACCTTTTTTATTTTTAAAGAAAAATTCAAATCCTGATCATAAAATCGAGTGTACCTCAATTGAAATTAAGTGAGTTTTATATGAACGGCACACATATATCTTACAACAGATGGGAAGGGGGACAAAGTCTGATTGTCACTTCCATGTGGTTGA